TAGAATTCAAAAATCAAACTAGTGCTAAAATCCCAAATTCAAACTATTAGTATTCCTAAAATCTCAATAATAATTCAAACTAGTCCTAAATTCAAAATTCAAACTAATCTTAAAATCACAAATTCAAACTAGCCCTAAAATCCCAAAATCTAACTAGTACTAAAATCCTAAATTCAAATTAGCTAGCTATTCCTAATCCCAAATTCAAACTATTAGTCCTAAAATCTCAATAATAATTCAAACTAGTCCTAAATTCAAAATTCAAACTAATCTTAAAATCACAAATTCAAACTAGTCCTAAAATCCCAAATTCAAACTGGTCCTAAAATCCCAAATTCAAACTAGTCCTAAAATTCCAAAATCTAACAAATTAAAGCTAAGTGTCAACACTAAATGGACAGAAATCGATCTTGCAAGAAAATCAATTTTGTCATCAATAGGATCAATTAGTGTTGGTACTTATGCTTAACAAACACTCGATGGACACAAAAAAATTATCACAAAAATTAAAGCTAAGTATTAATACTAGATGGACACAAACACATCAATTGAAAACAATTGTACTTAAAACTTGAGAAAGTTAGAAGCACCAACCTTATCTCCAACTTTGATGAAAGAAGCAATATAAGTCTTGTATCAACTTTTTTATATGTTGAGCTACCTCAGTTGCCTAGCACGAAAAGTTCTTAAATTAGTTAAATATAAACTTCAAATCCAATAATATTGGTTATATATATATATATATCCAAGTTTTAATAAGTTCAAGTTTCAATTCAAGTTCATATCTAATTTCTAAACTTAATAAGTTATATATTCAAGCTAATTAGTTCCAAGTTCAAGTTCTAATTTCAAGTTCATATTCCTAATTAAATTCAATTTATAGTAAATTCAAGTTAAAATTAATTATAAGTTCTAATTAATTTGTAATTTAAATCCCTAAAATTCCAAATTCAAACTACATTGCCAGTGTCCCAAATTCAAACTATTAATTAGATCTAAAATATCAAATATAATTCAAACTATTAGTCATAAAATATCAAATATAATTCAAACTATTAGTCCTGAATTCCAAATTCAAACTAGTCTTAAAATCACAAATTGAAAGTACTCCTAGAATTCAAAAATCAAACTATATTACTAAAATTCCAAATTAAAACTATTAGTAGTCCTAAAATCTCAATAATAATTCAAACTAGTCCTACATTCAAAATTCAAACTAGTCTTAAAATCACAAATTCAAACTAGTCCTAAAATCTCAAATTCAAATTAAACCTAAAATCCCAAAATCTAACAAATTAAAGCTAAGTGTCAACACTAAATGGACAGAAATCGATCTTGCAAGAAAATCAATTTTGTCATCAATAGGATCAACTAGTGTTAATATTTATGCTTAACAAATTTATTATTTCTAAATTTAAAGCTAAGTGTCAACACTAGATGGACACAAATCGATCTTGCAAGAAAATCAATTTTGTCATCAATAGGATCAACTAGTGTTGGTACTCATGCTTAACAAATATATTATTTCTAAATTTAAAGCTAAGTGTCAACACTAGATGGACACAAATCGATCTTGCAAGAAAATCAATTTTGTCATCAATAGGATCAACTAGTGTTGGTACTTACTTATGCTTAACAAATATATTATTTCTAAATTTAAAGCTAAGTGTCAACACTAGATGGACACAAATCGATCTTGCAAGAAAATCAATTTTGTCATCAATAGGATCAACTAGTGTTGGTACTTATGCTTAACAAACACTCGATGGACACAAAAAAATTATCACAAAATTAAAACTAAGTATTAATACTAGATAGACACAAACACATCATTGAAAAGAATTGTACCTAAACTTGAGAAATTTAGAAGCACCAACCTTATCTCCTACTTTGATGAAAGAAGCAATATAGTCTTGTATCAACTTTTTTAGATGTTGAGCTTCCTCAGTTGCCTAGCACGAAAAGTTCTAAAATTAGTTATATATAAACTTCAAATCCAAGAATATTAGTTGTGTATATATATATATATTCAAGTTTTAATAAGTTCAAGTTTCAATTCAAGTTCATATCTAATTTCTAAGCTTAATTAGTTCCAAGTTCAAGTTCTAATTTCAAGTTCATATTCCTAATTAAGTTCAATTTATAGTAAATTCAAGTTATAATTAATTATAAGTTCTAATTAATTTGTAATTTAAATCCATAAAATTCTGAATTCAAACTAGCTAGCTATTGTCCCAAATTCAAACTATTAATAAGATCTAAAATATCAAATATAATTCAAACTATTAGTCTTAAAATATCAAACATAATTCAAATTATTAGTCCTAAATTCCAAATTCCAACTAGTCTTAAAATAACAAATTGAAAGTACTCCTAGAATTTCAAAAAACAAACTATAGTGCTAAAATTCCAAATTCAAACTATTAGTAGTCCTAATATTTCAATAATAATTCAAACTAGTCCTATATTCAAAATTGAAACTAGTCTTAAAATCACAAATTGAAAGTACTCCTAGAATTCAAAAATCAAACTATAGTGCTAAAATCCCAAATTCAAACTATTAGTAATCCTAAAATCTCAATAATAATTCAAACTAACTCAAATAATACCCAAGTTCAAACAACTCCTTAAATACCCTAATTCAATCTAATCTTACAATTCCAAAATCAAACTAATTAACTTAAGAAATACCGAATTTCAAACAAATCATAAGATACCCTAATTCAAACTAACCCTAACATTAAAATTTTCAATTCACAATCAACAAACACAAAATAACAATCCAATAATCCCTAATTCAAACTAACAATCAAAAACCCTAAATCATTCACTTACTAACTAACAATCAATCAAACTAACAATCAATAAAACTAAGTATATTAGTACTCTAATTTTGAGATACTTCAACTAAATAGAAACAAAAGTAATCTAATATGGAGGTTCTAAAAATTCACCTTCACTAAGAAGGTCGGGGATGGAGGTGCTGGCCGAGATGGAGGCGACGCCGGTCGGAATGGAGGCGGCGCCGGTCGTAAATTCAAACAAGCTAGCTAGTGTCCCAAATTCAAACTATTAATAAGATCTAAAATATCAATTATAATTCAAACTATTAGTCCTAAAATATCAAACATAATTCAAACTATTAGTCCTAAATTCCAAATTCAAATTAGTCTTAAAATCACAAATTGAAAGTACTCCTAGAATTCAAAAATCAAACTATAGTGCTAAAATCCCAAATTCAAACTATTAGTATTCCTAAAATCTCAATAATAATTCAAACTAACTCAAATAATACCCAAGTTCAAACAACTCCTTAAATACCCTAATTCAATCTAATCTTACAATTCCAAAATCAAACTAATTAACTTAAGAAATACCGAATTTCAAACAAATCCTAAGATACCCTAATTCAAAATAACCCTAACATTAAAGTTTTCAATTCACTCACTAACTAATAGTTAGGGTTTATTAATTGATGCAAAATCAATTTTGTCATCAATAGGATCAACTAGTGTTGGTACTTATGCTTAACAAATATATTATTTCTAAATTTAAAGCTAAGTGTCAACACTAGATGGACACAAATCGATCTTGCAAGAAAATCAATTTTGTCATCAATAGGATCAACTAGTGTTGGTACTCATGCTTAACAAATATATTATTTCTAAATTTAAAGCTAAGTGTCAACACTAGATGGACACAAATCGATCTTGCAAGAAAATCAATTTTGTCATCAATAGGATCAACTAGTGTTGGTACTTATGCTTAACAAACAATCGATGGATACAATAAAATTATCACAAAATTAAAACTAAGTATTAATACTAGATAGACACAAACACATCAATGAAAAGAATTGTACCTAAACTTGAGAAATTTAGAAGCACCAACCTTATCTCCAACTTTGATGAAAGAAGCAAAATAGTCATGTATCAACTTTTTTACATGTTGAGCTTCCTCAGTTGCCTAGCACGAAAAGTTCTTAAATTAGTTAAATATAAACTTCAAATCCAAGAATATGCTAGTGTCCCAAATTCAAGCTATTAATTAGATCTAAAATTTCAAATATAATTCAAACTATTAGTTCTAAAATATCAAATATAATTCAAACTATTAGTCCTAAATTCCAAATTGAAACTAGTCTTAAAATCACAAATTGAAAGTACTCCTAGAATTAAAAAATCAAACTATAGTGCTAAAATTTCAAATTCAAACTATTAGTAGTCCTAAAATCTCAATAATAATTCTAACTAGTCCTATATTCAAAATTGAAACTAGTCTTAAAAATCACAAATTCAAACTAGTCCTAAAATCCCAAATTCAAACCAGTCCTAAAATCCCAAAATCTAACAAATTAAAGCTAAGCGTCAACAATAGATGGACACAAATCGATCTTACAAGAAAATCAATTTTGTCATCAATAGGATCAACTAGTGTTGGTACTTATGCTTAACAAATATATTATTTCTAAATTTAAAGTTAAGTGTCAACACTAGATTGACACAAATCGATCTTTGCTAAGAAAATCTAATTTTGCTTCAATAGGATCAACTAGTGTTGGTACTTATGCTTAACAAATATATTATTTCTAAATTTAAAGTTAAGTGTCAACACTAGATTGACACAAATCGATCTTGCTAGAAAATCAATTTTGTCTTCAATAGGATCAACTAGTGTTGGTACTTATGCTTAACAAACACTCGACGGACACAAAAAAATTATCACAAAATTAAAGCTAAGTATTAATACTAGATGGACACAAATACATCATTGAAAACAATTGTACTTAAACTTGAGAAATTTTGAAGCACCAACCTTTTTCCAACTTTGATGAAAGAAGCAATATAAGTCTTGTATCAACTTTTTTAGATGTTGAGCTTCCTTAGTTGCCTAGCACGAAAAGTTCTTAAATTAGTTAAATATAAACTTCAAATCCAAGAATATTAGTTTTATATATATATATTCAAGTTTTAATAAGTTCAAGTTTCAGTTCAAGCTCATATCTAATTTCTAAACTTAATTAGTTATATATTCAAGCTAATTAGTTTCAAGTTCAAGTTCTAACTTCAAGTGCATATTCATAATTAAGTTCAATTTATAGTAAATTCAAGTTATAATTAATTATAAGTTCTAATTAAGTTGTAATTCAAATCCCTTAAATTCCAAATTCAAACTAGCTAGTTGTGTCCCAAATTCAAACTATTAATTAGTCCTAAAATA